ATATATGGATATGGGAAATACTAACAACCAAGACATTTAACCATCACTTGAACATAATAATATTTAAATAAGAAAATGTAGGGTCTACATCGTACTCTGCTTTCGTCTTAGGGCGATCTACATAGCAGGAAAGGGGCTAGAGTCGTGATGGAGCACCCCCACATCCTAGTCTCCATATTGTAGTTATTATTCTCACTGATACTACAAATGGGCTGTTCAAACTGGAACAGGGCATTGGCCGATTTTTTTTTAGCTAGTTTTTTGTCGTCTAGCCAATTGTTTTTAAAAAAAATTCAAAAAAATTATAAAAAATCTAAAAAAAAAAAGGATTTGAAAAAATTCAAAATTTTTTATATAAAATCCTAAAAAATAAGAGATTTTGTAATGTGTTTTTTTTAATGTGATTTATCATTTGGGCAAATATACGAAATTGTTTTGGCCATAAATAGTTATTTTTCTATTTTCCCGTCTTTTTTATAAAAAAATGCAAAAATACTCTTGAGCACAAATCGATTTTTTAAAAATGAGGTTTCTATATTGCCCAGGTTTGATGAAAATAAAATAAAGCCTCTCCTCAAATCTTTGTTCGAAAAATACTTTTGGCCACATAAATCTCTATGATGACTTAAAATCAATTTCCAACATCGACAATAAATTTTAAAACTAAAAATATAGTACTGATCTTGTGGATCTATGAACACTTTTTTTTAAAGCAAAATGGACGGTCTAGATAATTTGTTATAATATATATTATTTTTAGCAGTTTGAAATCCTAATTTTTTTTTACAACCATATTGTTCAGTCGAGATGATCAATGTATAGGTTTTCCAACACGTTACTAGCAATTTTCATTGAGTTATGAAGAGATGATTTATTTATTTTGATATGGTTACAACCCTATCAAACTATTTTTTAAAATCTATTTTTTTCATTGATTTAACTTTATTTGGATGTGTTTAGTTTAATCATAATTTAAATATTTTTTTCATATTATTTTTTTAAACACTTTTTAGCCTGTCAAGACCTGCCTAGTTAAGCTTGAATTGGCCAATATACTGATTACTCAGAATCGGCCGGTGGCCGGTTTCTGAAGCCGGTTCGATTTTTCGAACACTTGTTAGAGAGAGAGAGAGGGAAGAAAGGAGAGAGGACTTCCAAAGAATGTAGAGAGAGGAAAGAAAGTAGAGAGAGAGAGAGGAGTGGGGCGACAAGGCAGAGGACGTTAAAGAAGAAGTCGCTTTCTGAGATTCTTCTAAATCACTGTGCAATCACCTCATTTTTCTCAACTTTACAGTTTTGGGTCAATAAAATACGCTTTTAATTAACCAAAAAAAATGATGAAATCTCTTTGCTTATTGGTTTGGATGGGCGGTAGAGAGAGAAAGTGCCAGTTTTTTCATCGATTCCTGAGAAAACTAAGTGAAAAATATTTGTTGGGGAGGGTCAAAAAAAGCATCTTAGAGAATTTAGTAGGATATTCATTAGTTAAGTAAAGGACATGCTTTGCGCTAGACCCCTAAATTCTCTCTCTAGAACCTTTCACACGACTCATGTGCTTATCCTAGATTCTTCTGTCACATTATTTTTGCCCCTCTCTCTCTCTACAAATCTATATCTATATATATATATGGAATTTTTTTTTATAGAACCGAGGCTCTAAATAATCAAATAAAAGCCTACCTTAAAAATTTAAATAGAAGATGTTGTTTTGATGCCCAAATATACTCAAATTGATCATCTCGACATGAAATTGCATGGACATGAGAAAAAAATGGATTTCAAGGTTTGGAAATAACGTCTTTTGTAACCTATTTTTGGAACATCAATTTTCAAGATTTTCAAATTTTTATAGATCTGTCGATTACACTATTTTTTAAGCTTTAAACTTTATAAATAAAGATGAAAATATATTTTAAAGCTATCACAAAGATTTCCGCTATTGAAACCACATTTCTCGATACTATTTGAATGTATGCTCTAATTTGATTGTTTGGAGCTTAGGCTCTATAAAAACAGCACCCGAATTGGAAAAAAAGTTCATACAGAGCGGAGGCTCTAAACAATCAAATTCGAACCTACTTCAAAAATTTCACTAGAAGATGTTGTTTTGATGTCCAAATATCCTCAAATCGATCATCTCAACATCAAGATGAATGCATATGAGAAAAAAATGGATTTCAAGTTTTGGAAATAGTGCATTTTGTAACGCATTTTTGGACCGTCAATTTTAAAGATTTTTGAGTTTTATAAATCTCTCAATCTACATTATTTTTAAAGCTTTAAAGTTAATAAATAAAGATGAAAATATATTTTAAAGCTTCAAAAAGATTTTCAGAGTTGAAACCACATTTCTCGACACTATTTGAAGATAGGCTCTAATTTGATTGTTTAGATCCTAGGTTCTATGCAAACCTCACCTTTTAGAATTACCCTGTATTGTAAATTTAGATTAGGGATGTTAATAGGTGGGAGGGTCTAGGTCAACCCCAACCTAGGCCTACCCGACTAGGTCTTAGTTGGACGCATACCTAATCTGAACTTGTGTTGAGTCCAAGTTGTTAAACCTAGACTTGAGCCATCAGGTTAGGTTGTGTCCAGATCTAGATAAAAGAAAGTTGAATTTTATTAAAAATACTTTATAATATACTATGACCAGTAGAGATTGTATACTTTGAGACAGTTTACCGTTGTTACAAGGAAGTCACAATCACTTGTGGCAATTAAATGTCAAATTAGGTAGTTTGTAGTGTGATAGGAAGGTTAACATTTTTTTTTTTTGAATTTTTTAGTCTAATCAATGCACACTTACAATACTTGATTTAAAATCAAACAAGAATAATTATTATCTCCTTGTACTAAAAGTAGATGGCTCTTTCTATACTTTTCCTTGATGGTGTTATGTATTTACATGCGCATTATATATACATATCAGGTCGGTTTAACCTTGACTCGGACCCGATAAAATCTACATCAAGATCCAAGCAGGTCTAATATTTGGGTCCAGACTTGAATCATTTTAGATTGAGTCCAGACTTGAATCATTTTAGATCAACCCAATCCAAGGGCTACTGCTATTTGGGATTCCCTTAATAATTACTAAATAATTATTTACTAAAGACAAATTTAAATTTTGTGTTCTCCAACGTTTAGATCTCACCCTCCAAAAATTAGACCACCTATAGCCAATCTTGAGATACCTTTTATCTCAAGCACATACATAATACAATTTGATTTATTTTTATATATTCAGGTTAGCACTAGGTTGAAGAAGTTATATTTCCAAAATATAGGGCCTTTCCTAGAAGTTTGACCCGAGGTAGTATATAAATAATATGTTCTTGCTGGAGTATGAAATCTTCCAGCCTCATTTAATTGCTAGACCAAGTTCTATGCGAGGGAGTAAATAGACAGTATGCTCCCTCTAGAGCATGAAATCTTTTGGCTTTGCCTCTCTCCCCCTCTCTCTGATCCATTACTTAGTTAATTCAGTAAATAGCTTCTCCCTTTCTCTTTCTCACTCTTATTCAATTAATCCCTCGTTCTCTCTCTAAATTTTTGAGTTGGGCATGTGGGCCAGCTGGACCACCCCGACAAGAGAGATAGAAATCTGCAAATAAATGCTCAAACTAGTGAGAGAAGATCATTAGAAAGATACGGCCTTAGATCTTCATTAATCAAAGCATTACAAGCATAAAATAAAACTAGATTTAAGAGCTTTTAATCTTTCTCATCTAATTAACCCACAAACAACTCGTGGAACAAGTTTTATTTCCTAAAAGGGCATATACATAATCACAAAAGATGGCGCTAATGATGCACTAAATAAAGCTCAAGGCTCGCCTTTCCAATCCATACACAATCATGCTTTCATTTCTCTCTCTAAAAGCATATAAATATATTATTGTTCCCCCTCTCTCTCTCTCTACTAAAACGTGTTCAGCATGATGCATCCCAAAGATTTTGCTGACCCATGCTCTCTCTAGATTTTGATGGCCCACTCTCTCTCTTCTCTTTGGGACCCAATCTCTCTCTAGATTTTGATCTCTATCCCATTCTCTCTCTAAATTTTGATCTCTCTCTCTCTCT